ACAGGAAAGTAGTAAAGGGAAGGCCAAATAATACAGGCATGCCATTAGTGCCAGAAAGCTGCCGTTAACATTCTCCAGGTCTGTTCACTGCAGGTCGATGGGAGAAGGGACTGGACAATAGACGCATGCCCAGTGAGGTGGGGTGATGTGGGAAAGAGATTACCTGTCAGTCACACCTGGGAACCGGGTACTGGCCAGAAGGGGTATGGTCACTGCAAGGGAGTGAAATCTCAGATACATAAACTCCTGAACAAAGGAACTTTCCCTCTCTCTTATGCTCTCTTATGCTGGGCTCCTGGCTCTCTTGTTGGGGGGGGATGAGGGACATGCTCCCCTGCATTTGCCCACAAGGCCCACAGCCATGTGGACCCCACACACAATGGACTGATGGACTGGAATTAGCTGGATGCTGTGCCGGATTCCACTCCACCATGGAACAAAAACTCTGGACACTGGCTTTGCTTCTAGTTCTACTGAAGCCCCAACTGCACATTTCCCAGGACTGGTTTAGGGGAAATGGGACTTTGCAAACCGAGGGATAGAACTGTACACAAATAAAAATCACTCATTCTTACATGCAAGTCCTAGAAAACTTTTTCTCAAGATGTTGTAAGAACCCCATTTCCATTAGCAATGGAGAAATTCCACCCGTGCAATTCTCTGATGACAGTATCAGCAAGCTCACATTCTCACAGCTTAGCAACTCCAGCTCTAAGAGTTTCTAGTTGGCAAAGAGGTACAAAATGTGTAACCCTTGCCCAGCTGGTGTGGCTTAGTGGTTAAGCATCGACCCTTGAACCAATAGATCCCCAGTTCAATTCTGGTCAGGGCACATGCCCAGAGGGCGTGTAGGAAGCAGCCCATCAATGTCTCTCATTGATGTTTCTGTCTTTCTATCCCTCTCCCTTTCTCTCTGAAAAAAAAAGTTAATAGAAATTTTTTTAAAATATAGAACCCTCATACACTGTTGTTGGGAATGTAAAATGGTGCAGCCACTTTGGGAAACAGTTTGGCAGTTGTATCAAAAGTTGAATGTGCACCAACCATATGACCCAGGAATCCCATTCCCAGGTTTCCACCCAACAGAAGTAAAAACATATGTCCACACTGAGACTTGTTCACGAAAGTCCATAGCAGGATTATTCGCAATAGCCCCAAATTTAAGACAATTTAAATGTTCATCAAATGGTGAATGGAAAAACAAAATGTGATTTATCTATATGGACGGGGAGGGGAGGGGGGTGAAGGAGGAAAAGGAATGTCTGGCCCTTATACCGCCTTCAAAATCATTTGATCTGGCCCCGCCAAGGCATTAGGGGTGAGTTAATGAAATGTTTGACCAAATATAGCAGGCTAATAATTTTATATAGCCTACAAATATCAAAATTGCAGGAAGCCACCCATTGTCTTTACTATGAGAGAAGTGCAAACAAGGATCCCGGAACGCTGGTGAACCTTGAACCCATGGTAAGGTTCACCCACTGCACCGACTGCCTAGTCCAGACAGTGGGGGCTCAAGCTATTTCCTGATCAAATAGTCTCAGAGTAAATCTTTCTAATATTTACTAACCTTTAAAATAGTCTGTCTGCTACTGCAATTACCTGCCTAAGGGCTAGATGTGTATCTAATATTGAATAAAAGGCTGGCGAGACCTGGACACCAGTAGAAGTCCTTTCTCTTGCATTGGGCTTGCCCGCCTGGCCCCCAATATTTCCAAATTATTATTTCTTGTTTTTTCTCTTTCATTGCATACGGCCCCTCCTCCAGATCCTGAACCTTGAACCACGTGGGACGTGGGGAACATTCACAAAAATGGCCTTTGGCAGAAAAAAGGTACCCCACCCCTGCTCTAGAGGAACAGCCTTGTTGACCAGCTATTTCAAGCCAGTACTTGCCCATATGGCTGGCTACTTTTCTGCACTTGACTATTAAATGAAAGCATCTGAATAAACTTAAATGTACTTTATCTTGTCATAATTTATATTTTTATTACCAGCAGTCCAATGATTTATGTAATGAAGCCTCCATAAAAACCCAAAAGGAGTTTGTAAAGCTTCTAGGTTGGGTAACCAGAACCCTTCCAACATTCACACCCGAACTCCATGGGGATAAAAGCTCCTTTGAAACCTCACCCTGTGTATCTTTCACCTGGCCCTGGATCATATATCCTTTGTAATAAAGTGATAATCTAGTGAATAAAGTTTTCCTGAGTTTGTGAGCCATTCTAGCAAGGTAATTAAATCCAAGGAGGGGGTCATTGGAACCTCTGAATTATAGCCAGTCAGTCCGTCAGTTAGCACAGGTAACAACCTAGGCTTGTCATTGGCATTTGAAGGGCAGTCTTTGTAGGGCTGAGCCCTTCACCTGTGTAATCTGATGCTATCTCTGGGTAGATAGTGTCAGATTGAGTTGAATTATAGGATATCCAATTGCTTGGTGGTGTGGGGAAAACCCTCATCAGAATTGAGTGCAGAACCTCTTGCATAGTATTTCCTTATAATTCTTTTTTATTTAAGGTTGGTAGTAAAGGCCACTCTCTTTCCATTAATACCATGCCAAACTGTCTCCAAACTGGTCCTGTCACTGCAGCAACTGTATGGGGAAAGTCTATTTGGGAGTGTATAGTTGGGAACAGGCATATTTTAAGGGAGAATAAATAGATAAATACAAGGGAAAGCTTGGAAGCAGGCATTTAGGGAAACTGAAGGTTTGATATTGCAAAATCATAGGATCCAATGTAGAAGGAAGCAGGAAATTGGTTGAGACTGATGCTGGATGGAAGATGGGGCAATGAAGCAGAGTGGGTAACCAAGTGTTTATTATCCTGACTATTGGGGCCAATCAGGTCTCAGTCATTATTTCCCTAATAGCACTCTACATCTTTATGAATTTCTTAATATTCTAATTTCACTAAGTACATTAGTTTTCAGTTGCTACCATAACAAACTTAGTTACTTAAAACAACAGAAATGTATTCTCAGTTCTGGAGGCCAGAAACCCAAAGCAAGCGTTAGCAGGGCCACACTCTCTGGAGGATCTGGGAGAGCATCTGTCTTTTGCCTCTTCCAGCTTATGGTGGCTGTTGGCATTCCTGGACTTGTGGCTGCATCGCCCCAATCTGCCTTTGTACAATGCTCCCACCTCTGTCTCAAATCTTTCATTGCCTTTTTCTTATAAAAGATACTTATCATTGGATTTAGCCACCCCACCTCCCCAGATAATTGAGGATGATCATCTCCGGATCCTTAACTTAATTATACCTGCAAAGCTCATTTTTCCAAATAAGGACAGTCACAGGTTCCAGGAATCACAACATACATGGACAAACCATTTGAGGAAATCACCATTCAAGCCAGTCAATACTAGGAGATTTTAAATAGCTACAAATGTGGGGAAAAATTTTTTTTCATTTGGGTAAAAAGTAATATTGAAGAAGGAAACATAGCATGACATTACATACAGCAGAAAATCGACAAGCAAAGCCTTTAAAAACATCTGTATTTCATGTATAGGATTGGGAAAAGAACTCTTTGAAAATAAACATATTCCAAGTAAACACAGACTTCGTAAATCTATAAATATTTAACTGCAAATATTAATACCCTATGTTACTCTTCTACATAAAGGAGAAACTCCAAATCCTGTTCTTTAGGAAGACACAAGCAATACCTTGAGAGTAACTATTGCCAAATCTTCCCTTTTTTGGGGGAGACCTAACATGTTACATGGATTAATTACAAAAGGATATATCAGACTCCATTGAATTTAAGCAAAAGACACAGCTAAAATTTCCCACTGAGGGTAATAAATATTTGATACTTATGAGTGTGAATACATAAGTTAATTAAATATTAGACACAAGAAAAATTCCAAAACTATCTGAAGTACGAATTTAAAAATGGCATAAATATGCCCTGGTTAGTGTGGTTCAGTGGATAGAGCATCGGCCCATGGACTGAAAGGTCCCAGGTTCGATTCCAGTCAAGGGCACATACCTAGGTTGTAGGCTCAATCCCTGGCCTTGGTGGAGGCAACCAATTGATGTGTCCCTCTCACATAGATGTTTCTTTCTGTCTCTCCCCCTCATTTCCACTCTCTAAAAATCAATGGAAAAATATTCTCGGGTGAGGATTAACTAACAAACAAACAAAAAATGGCATAAATATCAAATAGTCAGTTAACATAAACTTTGCTATTGGGTATGTTCCAGGCTTCCTTTTCTATTCCAGTGAGATCTGCTTCTTTTTTGTCCAAGGTCTTCCACTGCTGGGCTCCAAGACAGAAAATTGTTTAATACCATCAAGGCCTTGGTCATGGAAAGGATTTATTTTAGAAAAAAAAATTTCTTTCTTCTTTACTAAAGATTGTGGTTGTTTTTCTGCTACTTGCTTCTTTAAACTACATATCAACTTCCTGGAGTAAGAAAAATTATGGGCAAGAGCACATATTCTATGTTGGCTATCCCACAGTGTAGTGGCTGATTAATAAAGAAGCCACCCACTTGCCTTGGCTGGTGTGGCTCAGTGGTTGAGTGTTGACCTATGAACCAAAAGGTCACAGGTCAATTCCCAGTCAGGGCACAGGCACAGGTTTCGGGCTCCATCCCCAATGGGGGCATGCAGGAGGCATGTTTCTCTCTCTCTCTCTCTCTCTCTCTCTCTCTCTCTCTCTCCCTTCCTCTCTGAAATCAATAAAAATATATTTAAAAAAAGAAGCCATCCACTCAACCTTTTTGTCATTTGGTCTCATCTAAAGAATAAGTAAAAAGGATCAAGGTTACAAAGGACTCATGACCAAAGTACACCTTTTACAAATATCTTTTGACTGGCCATGGAAAGCTTTATTTCTTCATCAAGCCCCAAATGAGTCTTTAATGGATTAAGAATCCCTTCCCACCTATTAGAGGCCTTTAAGGAATAAATGCTTCAAAGATCAGTTTCGAGTAGTACACAGATACTTCAGGGGAGTGGACCAAACAAAAGGAAAAGCCAACAAAATATACAGACCTACTTTTGACTGGCTCCTTTTACTATTTAGAAATTAAGATATTTTCAGTCTTTTGCTTTCCTTCTCCACATTGTCTCTAATATCCTGGAGTTTTCTGGAGTTCTGGGCCAGGAACACCAAGCTGTCCCTGAAATCACTAGTCCCATGATTTCTGCCAACATTTTCAAGCTCATCAAACAAAGCCAATGTCTGTTTAAGTTTGGCCTGAACAGTTTTTTGCTCTTCTAACTCTGCAAGAAGGGCCTGCTTAGTGCATAATTCAGTCTTGTACTTCTCCTGTAACTGTTCAATTTCTTTTTGGAGAACCTGGAATTCTTCCTCACTATAAGAATGCATCTCCTGAGATTTATCTTCCGGAAGCAAGATGTTTGGGGGAATACGCAAAATCCACTGTAAAAACAGCTGCTCCATTTTGACAAAAAGCTTATCAAAACGTCCTTTCATGAAGCAAAGAAACTTCTCTGTGCACTTACGAACCTGGACTGGGCTAATCTCACAGTTTGGGATGCCCTCCAGCTTCTTCAGAATAACCTGTTCAACAGCCTGCATCACTTCAAATAGGTAGTCTTGAAATGCAATGTAGATCCTGAGCATGCAAGTTTGTGGTGTGAAGCCAAAGAACTGGGCCCTCATAGGTCATTGGATCGACGGACATCTTGACTTATTTTGCTGTTAATTTTGATTGTGAAAAATCTGCAAATGTAAAGGAAATATCATTAGATTACATCATCTGAAGAAATCACATTATAGATAGAAAAGTTTGATACCCAATGCCAATTCCAGCCTCACTCATCCACAACAGGATGCTAACCCTTGCCTCTCTGAGGCTGTTTCCATCCGTCTATAACCTCCCTTAGACCCTCATTTTCCTTACCTCTCATTTATTGAGGACTCTGGCCTGTGGTTCAGTCTTCTGAAATCTGTTATCATCCTAGAAAACATTCAAATTTAGACAAATAACCTAACCAGCCCTAGAGACACAGTTTCATGAGATTCAATGACTTCACTCTTTTGGCCATCTGGCTCTTGATATTTGCAAATTCTCTCCCCAAATGCCCCCCCTTTTTTTTGACAACTTCTTATGCTATTCTTCCAACTCTCATGCACATACTCATACTACACCTTAATCATCAAGACTTTCAACCCTCTGATCCTCTCTTTCTTGCACTCAGTCTATCCCACTTCACTTCTTTCCTTATCCATTTTAGGCTCCACCATCCATCACTTTAACCACTCCCTTGCCAATGTCCTCAACT